GAAGAATAAAAATATCCTCCAAATGATGAGGATGTTATGACCATGAAAGCAGTACAGGGTATTGTCTGTAAAAAAGGAACAGTAAAGGAAGAAGAAAAAAGTTCCTGAAATTAAAAACATGATAGTAGAAGTGAAAATGAAATACACTAGACAGTAGTTGAGAAAATTTCCCAGGAAATATAGAAAAAAAGAAAAAAAAAGAGACAAAGATGAAAAATAGAAGAAAAAGAAAACTAAAAGAACACAAAAAGAACTAATCATTTAAAAACTGACAAATTAGGTTAATCAAAATTGAAAATGTCTATTATTTGAAAAGTATTGTTGAAAAAAGACAAGTTGTAGTTTGGAAGAATATATGCAAAACATATCCGATAAAGTATTTATCATGCCTGTTATCCATCCCAGCACTCTGGGAGGCCAAGGTGGGTGGATTGCTTGAACCCAGGAGTTCAAGACCAGCCTGGGCAATATGGCAAAACCCTGTCTTTACAAGAAATACAAACATTAGCCAGAGGTGGCGCATGACTGTGTTCTCAGTTCTCTGGTGGCTGGGTGGGAGGATCCCTTGAGCCCAGCGGGTGGATGTTTCAGTGAGCCAAGGTCGTGCCACTGCACTCTAGCCTTGGTGACAGAGTGAGACCCTGTATCAGAAAAAAAAAAAAAAAAAAAAAAAAAAAAAAGAACTTCTATGCAGAATATATGAAGAACCTTCCCAACTAAAAACAAAAACAATCCTACTTTATTTTATTTTTTTATTTTACAATCCTACTTTAAAAATGGGCAAAAGATTTGAAAAGCCACTTCAAAGAAGTTACATAGATGGCAAATAAGCACATGAAAGATTTTCAACATCATTAGTCATTAGGGAGATATGTAAGTTAAAACCACAATAAGGCACCATCATGTACCTATTAGAATGAAAGAAACTGGCCGCGCGCAGTGACTCAGGCCTGTAATCCCAGCACTTTGGGAGGCCGAGGCGGGTGGATCATGAGGTCAAGAGATTAAGACCATCCTGGTCAACATGGTGAAACCCCGTCTCTACTAAAAATACAAAAAATTAGCTGGGCATGGTGGCGCGTGCCTGTAATCCCAGCTACTCAGGAGGCTGAGGCAGGAGAATTGCCTGAACCCAGGAGGTGGAGGTTGCGGTGAGCCGAGATCGCGCCATTGCACTCCAGCCTGGGTAACAAGAGCGAAACTCCGTCTCAAAAAAAAAAGAATGAAAGAAACTGTGACAATTCTGTGCTGCATGTGGGGAATTTGAAGCTCTCATCCACTGCTATTGGGAATTCAAAATGGTACACTTTGGAAAACAGTTTTGCATATAAAGTTACACACCACATAATGCAGTAAATCCTACTCTTCAGTATTGACTGTACCCAAGAGAAATCCAAACATATGTCCATACAAAAATCTGTACCTTAATTTATAGAGTAGCTTTCTTCATAATTGTCTCAGACTGAAAAATACCCAAGAGGCCATCAACAGAAGAATAAGCAAACTGTGTGTATCCACAATGCAATTCTACTCAGCAATAAAAGCAAAAGACTACGATACATGCAACTTGGTTGAATTCCAAATCCATACTACTAAGTGGAAGCAGCCAGACTTTTCAAAAGGTTACATATGATATGGTTCCATTTTATGACATCTTGGAAAAGGCAAAACTATAATGACAGAAAACATATCAGCAGTTGCCAGAGAAGGGTGAAAAGTGGGAGCGAACTATAAGAAGCTGTAGTTCTTTGTAGAGATGATTTATGTGTTAACTGTGGTGGTGGTTACAGCAACTGTATGCTTTTGTCAAAATATATTCAACTGTTAACTAACAAAGTTTAATTTTACTCTATGTAAATTATACCTCCACAAGCCTGACTTTTAAAAAATTAAAGGGCTGGCTGGGCACCGTTGCCTCATGCCTGTAATCCTAGCACTTTGGGAGGCCGAGGCAGGCCGATCACTTGAGGTCAGGAGTTTGAGACCAGCCTGGCCAACATGGTTAAACCCCGTCTCTACTGAAAATACAAAAATTAGCCGGGCATGGTGGTGCATGCCTGTAATCCCAGCTACTAGGGAGGCTGAGGCAGGAGAATCACTTGAACTCAAGAGGCAGATGTTGCAGTGAGCCAAGATCAAGCCTTTGCACTCCAGCATGGGGGACAAGAGTGAAACTTCATCCCCCACCGCCAAAAAAAAAAAAAAAAAAAAAAATTAAAGGGCCAATCCAACAGATCTAACATTCATCTAATAAGAGTTCTGGGAAAAGCCATGCAGTGGTATACACCAGGAGTCCGAGCTACTAGGGAGGCTGAGGCAGGAGGATCCCTTGAGCCCAGGAGTTCAAGGTTGTAGTACACTATGATTGTGCCTGTGAATAGCTACTGTACTCCAGACTGGGCAACACAGAGAGATCCTGTCTTAAAAAAAAAAAAAAAAGAGAGAGCGAGCGAGCGAGCTCTGGAAAACAGGGAATTAAGAAAAAACAAAAGGAGAAGAAATCAACAATGAAATTATTCAAGGAAAGTTCTCATAACTGAAGAATAAGAGTTTTTCAGATTGAAAGTACCCATACCCAGGAGCCAGTAATATGGATGAAAATACACCCATACCAAGACATGTCACCATGAATTTTCTGAATATTTAAGACAAACAGAAGATTCTCCAGAATTAGAAAGGGGAAAACAAGTCATATCAAGAATCAGGATGGTCTCAAACATTGCAACAACAAATACAGAAATCTAGAAGGCAATGGAACAATACTTTTAAAATTTGGCAAGAAAATAATTTTCAACCTACAATTCTATACCCAGCTAAACTATCATCCAAATTACAGGGCAAAATAAGATTTTTTTAAGACATTCAATATTCTTAAGGTAATTTACTTCCCATACACCTCCAGAAAGCTGACAGATGACTGCACTAAAATAAGTAATAAGAGAGATGAAGAGTGGGGGTATAGAAAGGAAGGAATCCAGGAGAACCAAAAGACAAGAGAAAGGAAGAAGAAATCTGCAGAATGAGGCTGAAGGGAAATTTGCTCTGTTCCCCTCTATCCTTCAATATGAACTGTGCTCTAAAGACAGGAGTAACTAGTCCAATTTGAAGCAGACCTAAAAGGCCTGGGAGAAATAGAATTGTTAGAATATTTGATGAGTCTAAGCATCCTGAGATTAAACTTAGACAACTGGAAGAGAGTTTGGGGTTGAATTGATAACTAAGAAAAAAAAAAAAAAAGCAAAAACGTGAGGCAATTAAGAATTCCAAGTGGCCTGGCACAGTGGCTCATGCCTGTAATCCCAGCACTTTGGGAGGCTAAGGCAGGTGGATCATGAGGTCAGGATTTCGAGACCAGCCTGGCCAACATGACAAAACCCCGTCTCTACTAAAACTACAAAAAATTAATTGGGCATGGTGGCATCTGCCTTTAATCCCAGCTACTTGGGAGGCTGAGGCAGGAGAATTGCTTGAACCAGGACCTGGGAGGTGGGGGTTGCAGTGAGAGGAGATCGCGCCACTGTACCCCAGCCTGGGCTACAGAGTGAGACTCTGAAAAAAAAAAAAAATCCAAGTAAAATAAATATTATAGAAAAGTAAAAGTCCAGGCGAAGTGGCTCACGCATGTAATCCCAACACTGGGAGGCCAAGGTCGGAGCTTGGCTTGAGCCCAGGAGGTCGAGACCAACCTGGGTAATATAGTGAGACCTCATCTTCACAAAAAATTAAAAAGTTAGCTGCGCATGGTGGCACATGCTTGTAGTCCTGGCTACTCAGGAGGCTGAAGTGGGAGGATCACTTGAGCCTGGAAGACCAAGGTTTTAGTTAGCAAAAGATTGTGCTAATACACTCCAGCCTAGGTGACAGAGCGAGATGCTCTCTCAAAAAATATATATGAAGAAAGAAAAAAAAAGAGGCCGGGCATGGTGGCTCACACCTGTAATTCCAGTACTTTGGGAAGCTGAGGTACATAGATCACTTGCACCCAGGAGGCCGAGACCAGCCTGGGCAACATGGCAAGACCCCATCTCTACCAAAAAAAAAAAACAAAAAAATTAGGCATAGTGGTACATGCCTGCAGTCCCAGTTACACAGGAGGCTGAGGTGGGAAGATATGGCTTGAGCCCAGGAGACAGAGATTGTAGTGAGCCAAGATCACTCCACTGCACCCCAGCCAGGGCAACAGAGTGTGACCCTGTTTCCACAAATAAGGAGTTACCTCTGGGGAGGAAAAAAATGGCAGGAACCATTGTTTTTAAAATCACTTGGCCTTTAAATGATGTGTATACACAACTTACTTTTTAATCAGCTATAAAAAATAAAAGACAAAGTTCTCATTCTTGAGGAAGTCATAGAAATAAGTACTAAAAGAAGTAGGTTCAAAGCCTACTAAAATTTAAAATGTTTCCTTGGGAGAAATTAATTCTATGCAGTAGTGTTTAATACATATCTTGCTTACCATGTGTCACGCCCAGAAAAAAGAACAAAGTGAAGCGGGTGAGAAAAGGAATTGCTGACTGCCAGACCTACTGGGTCCATCATTCATCACTGTGTAAGCAGACAACTATGAGCAAAGACATGGTCCCTGAGCCAAAGAAGCTCTGAATGCAGAGGTGGAAAATGACACCTAAAATGGCTATTTAGGAAGATTGCCTGAGGCCAGGAGTTCCAGACCAGCCTGGGAAACCTAGCAAGACCATGTTTTATTTCAATTAAAAGCAAACAAACAAAACACAATCTAGGGTGATGAGTGTAAACTATGATCATTCCTGTTCCAGGAAGACTGACAGGCGGCTGACCACTTTAGCGATAGGAGCACTCACCTGTACTTACGTAACGCGGAGGCGGCTGCGTAAACAAAGCCAGCTCGGGGTCCGGGCTCCATCCCTATCCTCCCACCACCCCATCCTGGCTCTAATCAACCTAGGAAGCATCCTTTCGCAGGGATCAAATACCCAGCCATAACTAGTCCCTTGATCCTTTCAGGGCTGAAGCCAACTCACCGACTCGGCCGCTGCTTCCTGCTCGTCGACCGCGAGGGCCCATGAGTCAGTGGCCATGGTCCCGGGCGCGGGTGGGACACTCGGCCTGGCGGATTCGAGGGATGGCACGGTGTGCTGATGGGAGGTTTCGGGGGTTCACGGCAGCCTCTGCTCCAGCCCCACTACAAAGCTCCAGACCGGAAGCGGCGCGCAACAATGACGTCGGAGGCCGCTCCTGTTTGGCCACCCCTTGCCCACTTTGGGCCGTTGCTCTGTCACCCTCAGACTCAACCGCGGGCAGGGCAGGCTTTCCTATTGAGCTGAGATAGTTATCCTAAAATGCCTAACCTCTGGTCAGCTTGGCTCTCTAACCAAAGAACAAAATCAGATTCCCGCCCAACACAGTGGCAGAGAAGGCACTACCACAGATTAAATACATCAAAACAGAAAACCATTACCAATAGTCACCAAAACGCAAAACAAGCAGAGAGCTATTTCCCTGATTTTCACATTGGTAATTTAAAATGTCCAGGTGTTGGCAATCAGCCCTGTCAAGCCATTTGGTTAAAAGCCTGTCCCACTGACAATGTAACAATACCACTTACAGGAATTTAGTTTTGAAAATACTCAAGGAAGGTGCCAGGGCAAAGTGTTCCAGTAGAGCATCAGAGACAAGAAAGAGCAAGGAGAGCTGTGGAACTGAAAAGACACAGCTCCTGGGAGAATCGACAAGAGCCAGGCATGAAAAGGGCCAATCAGAGCAGTCTAAGGAGTAAATGCGTGACTTTTAGACTTAGCTGGCCTGTGTTAGAATCTCAGCTCACTTGAGTTGACCACGATGCAGTCCTATGCATGTAACAAAATCGCACCTGCATTCAAAAATTGGTATCCCAGGAAGAGGAACTGCAATTCGCCTATGTAAGGGTTATATAATTGGGAGCATGTTAAAAAGGAAGAAAACAGCCAGTTGTGGTGGCTCGTGCATGTAATCCCACAATTTTTTGAGGCCGAGGTGGAAGCATCACTTGAGCCTGGTAGGTCAAGGCTGCAGCGAACCATGATAGTACCACTGCACTCTAGCCTGGATGACAGAGCGAAACCCTGTCTCCAAAACATAAAATATTAAATTAAAATAGTAAAATTACTAAATAGAGCTAGGTGTGGTTGCTCACACCTGTAATCTCAGCACTTGTGTGGGTTTTTTTGTTTTTTTGAGACATAGTCTTGCTCTTTTGCCAGGCTGGAGTGCAGCGGCTCCATCTCAGCTCACTGGAACCTCCATGTCCCAGGTTCAAGCAATTCTCCTGCCTCACCCTCCCAAGTAGCTGGGATTACAAGTGTGTGCCACCACATCCAGCTAATTTTTGTATTTTTAGTAGAGACAAGGTTTCACCATGTTGGCTACGATAGTCTCCATCTCCTGACCCATGAGTCAGTGGCCATGGTCCTGGGCACGGGTGGGACGCCCGCCTCGGCCTTCCAAAGTGCTGGGATTACAGGTGTGAGCCACAGCACCCGGCCTCATTTTGTTGTTTTAAGATAGAACCAAGTCTTACTATGTTGTCCAGGCTTGTCTCGAACTCTTGGGTTCAAGTGATCCTCCTACCTCCACCTCCCAAAGTGCCAGGATTGGCCAGGCACAGTGGCTCACATGTGTAATCCCAGCACTTTGGGAGGTGGAGGTGGAGGTGGGAGGAGTGCTTGAGTCCAGGAATTTGAAAACAATCTGGCCAACATAGCAAGGCTTTATTCCTACACAAGAAAAATTTAAAAATTAGCCAGGTGTGGTGGCACATGCCTGTAGTTCCAGCTACTTGGGAGGCGTAAGTGGGAGGATCATTTGAGACCAGGAGGTTGAGACTGCAGTTAGCGGTGTTTGTGCCACTGCTCTCCAGCCTGGGCAACAGAGTGAGACTCTGCCTCATAAACAAACAAATAAATAGGAAAATATGTCCTGGGCTTTTAGTAGATGTAAAATAAGGATTAAGTGAAACAATTGCTTTCTCCTAACTAGAATCAAACAAGCTTCTCTTCCCTTGTTATCCCTAGAAACTACACATTTTCCTACAATCGGAAAAAAATAAGTCCCAACCTCTTTCATTTTGCCCATATTACACAACAATAAGTTAATTTCAAGCCATGAGCCTGGGCACAGTGGCTCACATCAGTAATTACAGCACTTTGGGAGGCCAAGGTGGGTGGATCACCTGAGGTCAGGAGTTCGAGACAGGCTTGGCCAACATGGTGAAGCCCCATATCTACTAAAATATAAAAATGAGCCAGGTGTGGTGGTGCATACCTGTAATCCCAGCTATTCAGAGACCAGCTTGGCCAGCAGGATAAAACCCCATCTCTACTAAAAATATAGAAATTAGCTGGGCATGGTAGTGCACATCTGTAATCCTAGCTACTCGAGAGGCTGAGGCAGGATAATTACTTGAACTCAGGAGGCAGAGGTTGCAGTGAGATGAGATCGCACCATTACACACTCCAGTTTCATTCTTGAATGAAACTCTGTTTAAAAATAAAATAAAATAAATAGACTAGGTTCGGTGGCTCATGTCTGTAATCCCGGCACTTTAGGAGGCTGAGGTAGGCAGATGATGAGGTCAGGAGATTGAGACCATCCTGGCCAACATGGTAAAACACCATCTTGGCTAGGTGTGGTGGCTAACGCCTGTAATCCAAGCACTTTGGAGGCCAAGGCGGGTGGATCACCTGAGGTCGGGAGTTC